GCGGGAGCCGCTACGGTTGCTTGTGGCTTGCTTGCCACATATAACCAAGTGACCCTTGACTTGTCTTGTGACCATGTTGGCACACTGTAAACAGCAAATGATGCTCATTACTGTGGTCACAATTGGAATTAAGAAGTTAAGCCAAGAGATAATTTGATACAATATTTTTGTTAGAAGAAATAATGTTTAAGTTTGATTGCTGTTGGAATAGAACCACACAGGCTCTCTGTCTTCAATTAAACAAGAGCATTTTTTTCAGGCTCATGATTTAGTTCAAGATCTTCCTTGTTAGAAATGAACTTTAAAAGGGATGGGGGAAATAGATACTTTTCTAACTTGTTCTGCATTGTTGATTATAACACTGAAGTTAGAAATAACTTAGATATTGGATACCTGTTTGGTTTAATAAGACTATGATGTAGCTGTAAATATATATTATGAAGCCAGTAAAATAGTGATATATACTATATTAACTATCATTTTTATAAATTTAAATAAAAAGCAGGTTACTAAGTAGTAACTTATTTACATTTATTTACATATTACTTTAAAATATACAATTATAAACTGAAGTATCATAATTTACACGTCTTCATAATGATGATAATGTAGTATCAGTTTCTCCCCATTGCTTCTTGGCCTTTTGGCTAAGATCAAGTGCAGTTTCTCCTTTGTATTTTTTCTCAGTGTTTTTCCAGTGAATTATTACTCTAATAATTATAAAAATATTATTATATGAATTATATATTATTATAGCTATATAATATATAAATATTGTTATATAATGATTATATAAATATTATTTAAAAGGGGGCAAAAAAGTGACCTCCCGCTATAGGTCAGGCACTGAGCTGATGATATGTTTAGCCAGCATAGTATTTACAAGGCCTAAACACATAGATAAGTATCTACACTGCTGGGCTGGGGATTTAGCTTAGTGGTTCTGCTGCCTGCCTCGCAAGCACAAGGACCAAAGTTCAATCCCAAGTACCAAAAACAAAACAAACATACAAACAAAAGTATCTACACTGCAGAGTGGAAAAATGAATAATGATCCCAAGATTGTACTGCTAATCACTTACAAAATCAGTACTTTTTCTAGCCGGGCGTGGTGGCGCACGCCTGTAATCCCAGCACTTGGGAGGCTGAGGCAGGAGGATCACTGTGAGTTTGAGACCAGCCTGGGGTACATAGTGAGTCCCAGGTCAGCCTTAACTACATAGTGAGACCCTGTCTCAAAAAAAAAAAAAAAACACCCAAAAATCAGTACTTTTTCTCATGCCTCTTGGCATGGACTTTATGCCTTCTCAATGCCATCTTGTCAGTATTCAGTATTTTGGGCTGACCTGTCCGTCAGTAATTGAGAAACTTTCAGTTAAAGAGATGCTGAGATGTCACAATCCATCTTTTAGGGCCAGTGACTTAGTAATGAAGGTGGATGCTCTCCTGTCAGCTCAACCCAAAGGAGATGCAAGAATTGAGTACCAGTTTTTTGAAGACAGACACAGGTATAAAATTCATGTTGAATTTATTTTCCTAATATTAAACTTTTACCTAAATACTGCCTTTACCTCCCTCCTTTATTTTCCATGTAAGGTTTGCACATAAGTTGTACAAAAAGAAAAATTGATTTGGGTACAGTTTTTATATATTGTGTTCATATAAAAAATTCATATGGAGTTCTCAGTTACAAGAAAGTTGACATTTATTTCTAAATAAATCTGAAATAATTCTGAATGCATCCTTTTAGAGAACATACAGCATTTTATAAAACAGACTAGTTACAATTTTCTGTTATTCAAGAGTAAAAGATTGTTAAAACACTGTCTCATGAATCCTTTTGAAAACTTCGGTGAAGAAAAATGAAATGAGTATTATGAGTCCTTGCCTTTTTGTTTTTTAAATATTTTATCTTGTTTTGTTGAGACAAGGTCTCAATATGTAGCCTAGGCTGGCCTTGAACTCACGGTAGTCCTGCCTTGGCTTCCTGAGTTCTGGGATGATAGGTGTGGACCACTTTATTTTGAGAAGTTGTTATGTAGAAATAGTTTCAAGACTTACCAGGAACCCCCAGATATCTTTAACCTAGTTCACCAGTTGTTGGCTTTGTCTCTTGTCCATGTGTATAGTACATACAACGTTTACATGTTTGCATAGATACACACGCACTTACACCATTGAAAGGACACAGGGAGCATTGTAATAAGCCTGAATCTTCTGTAGATGTCTCTTGAGTACAATACTATTAGATTAGCTTAGAAATTTAACCTTGATTCAGTGATACTCGTGTGTATACCTTTTCACATGTCTCCAGTGTCCCAGTAATGACTGTTTATAGTTCTTTTTATGTTTGTTTTGGTCCTGAATATACATTGCAGTTAATTTTATCTCTTTAGTATCCTTTAATCCTGATGATTTCCTTGCTTTTTTCTCTTTTTTTTCCCCCCTTTTTCCTTCCTTTGGTCTTTTTTCTTTTTGACATTATTATAAAGAGTCTAGACCAGTTGGAATGTTCTACAATCCAATTGTTTCCTGGTGACTATACTTAGATTAACTGCTTCTAGGAAGAACCCAGTACATTCACCTGGCAAGTATGTAATTTGATTATGCTTCAGAATCCCCAGGGAAGCTTTAATTAAATACACTTGCCTCTGTGCTTCTGCTTGGTGATTCTGACCTGACTTTTTCAGCACGGATTGCATGGTGGTTTAGTGGACTTGTGTTTACCCACCGCCCATCTTTGTGGAGTCACATTGGTCAGACTGATGGTTACAGGCTGGGATGCAGACCTTCTCTGCTTGCACTAGCTGTGTTTTCTGATTTCTCATGTCACCAGTGGGTGAGGAATTCTGGCTAAACCTTGTTGGATTTGCCACCAGCACTTGCATACATCTAGGAAGTAACTTACTATCTACTTACTAGAGCAGAAAACATTTCCTAAGTAACCTTCCAACTCATTTGCCTTTCATAGTCAGATAGTGAGTCCTGAGCAGAGATCGGTGTCTTTTTTTTTTTTTTTTTTTTTTTTTGGTACCAGGGATCGAACTTGGGACCTTGTGCTTGCAAGCCAGGCAGCAGCACGACTGAGCTAAATCCCCGGTCCTGTGTCTGTTTTTAGAAATCCTTTTTCTCCATGAGCCTCCTGGAGTTTTACCTAATTAAAATGTCTTAATCACAAATTCTATTATCATCCAAATTAGACAAATTCTTCTTACTGGAATGTGTTAGCTAAATGAGTGTCTGTTGTATATAAATCATAAGTTTCTCATTTGTATTAGAAATATGAGATGTGAACCATCAGTTCTGTACATACAGGCTTTCTCTGAGTATGGTCCATGGACTAGCCAGGGAAAGGGCATTGTCTGGGAGCTTGTCCGAAGTGCAGTTTTTGGCTCTACACTAGACCTGTCAAATCAGCATCCACAGTAAATCTGCATCTTCACAGGAATACTGTGAACATTAGTGTTAGTGAAGTGCAGTATTTTTTGACATTTGCTTTACTCTAGGCAAGTATATATGATCTCCAAATCTCGTTGCTTTGTCACTTGGTCTTTACTTTTACCAGTAAACAAGTATATTAAAAAATGGCATTGTTAGTTCAAGTTGTTCCAAAATCCACATCTTACTCTTTTCTTGGGTTTTTTCATGTCTCTTTTTGTTATAGAATATGGGGCTGGTTGAGGCCCCTCACAGGGTCAGTTTCTAAGCCTTTCTGTTGCAGACTGCCTATAGCACTGTGTTAGTCAGAACATGTCACACTGCCCCAACAGCCTGCAGGCCTGGTGGAGACCCTCCTTCTTCTCTTTGTGAGAGTTTGTATGCTATTACTCCCTAATGAGTTTTTCTCCTAGAATTCTTTTTCTTTTTTTTTTTAACAATTACTTTGGGCTGGGATTTAGCTCAGTGGTTCTGCTGCCTGCCTTGCAAACACAGGGTCCCGAGTTTGATCTGCGTTATCAAAAAACAACAACAACAACAACAACCCAAAAACCCACAATTACTTTATTGATTTCTGCCAGCTAGCATTACTTCACTCACACATCATTAAAAATGAACTTCCTTGGTATTTTCACGTAATTCATTACATAACAAACACAGCTTAAAATGCGCCCTGCTTAATTATGTAAACTGGTAATTTTTATAAAAAGCATAATAATTTGGTTCATTTATTCATAAAATGGAAATTTAAATATTTCTTCTGATAGTCTTCCGGTTATCATTATTTTATGAGTAGCGCAAGTGTGGGACAAATAGTTTCCTCTAGAAAGGTGTACACGTTACCTTCTTGAAACAAAATGCTCACAATAAAATGCATACAGTACTTGCATGATAGGCAGCATTTTTCAAATACGAGATCTAGAATTCTAAGATAGTGCAGAACTACAAATTATATTAGGAAGTGGCACTCAAATTTTGACTCTTAGGAGCTTAAAATGAAGATTGCTCCCCAGAAACTCCCCAGTTTCTTTTCTTTTTTTTTCTTTTTTTGGTACTAGGGATTGAACTCAGGACCTTGCACTTTTGAAGCAGGTGGTGGCATCATTGAGCTAACTCCCTGGCCCACTTTTTTTTTTTTTTTTTTTTTTTTTGTGGTGGGTACTGGGGATTGAACTCAGGACCTTGCACTTGTGAGGCAGGCAGTGGAACCTGAGCTAAATCCCTGGCCCTCCCCAGAGTTTCTGATTCAAGAAATCTGAGCTCAATAATTCTGTCTAGCAGATGCCCAAGTTTAGCTAAACGTGCTGGTCTGGAGCTACACTTTGAGAACAGCTATATTACACTAAAAAGCAAAACAAGAACAACTTTTATTGTATTAGAATAATCAATGGCAGTCATTGAATCTGGAACTGTTAACATTATTAGAGATTATACAGAGATTGTATGTATTACTCTACAATGGTCACAAATCTATGCCAAAGCAGTGGCTATTTTCAAAGCAGTTAAAATTTGAACTAACTTCCATTGCCCAGTTTTGTTAATTATATCTGCTTTGTATTGTGCTTTCTTTTTTTTTTTTTTCCATTGAGTTTATTGGTACTTTTTAAGTATGCAGTACAGTTATATTCATTATTGAGATCTTGTACCTTTACATAATATATTGGTCTTGGTCCTCATTTTTTCCCCATATCCCTGTGCTCCCTTCAGCCCCTCCACCCTCCCCTATTTACAAAGACTTTGTTTCCATTTTCTCATATTTTTTTCTTTCCCCTTATTTTATTTCCCCTACTCTTTCCACTTCCCCTACACCTTTAGCCCTTTTCTTCCTATTTCACATTGTCAGTTATACAATTTGGATTTTATTTACACTTTTGGTTTTTCACAAAAGAGAAACTATTCAGTAGTTACACATGTGACTTATTTATTTCACTTAGGAGTATATCCTCCATATGTATCCATGTTTCTTTGAATGACTCTAATTCCTCATTCTTTATGGCTGAGTAGTATCCCATTTTATAGAAAAACCACATCTTCTTTATCCAGTTTCCAAATGATGGGCAAATGGGCTGTTTCCAAGTTTTGGCTATTACAAACTGTGCTGCTATAAACATAGGTGAGCTTTAGCTGAACTGATACAGCAGGAACACAGTAGCATTAAGCATAGCTTAGAAATTAAGCATTTGTGGTAGTTATTAATCTGTCACCTTTAACCATGTGAATTAAATCAAAATCGAGGAGCAGACCAAAATATTTTTCTAATGAATAAGCTCTTCAATATGGCAACTTTATCCTTCAGCATGGGGACTTAGAAGGAGTTGGGAGGAGAGGAATAGATAGGTAAAAGAATAGAAGAAAGTTTCAAGTGAAGTCAGAGGACACAGGATGATCATGCAAACTGTAGGAAACTGTTGAAGACAAGAGGGAAAGACAAAGTGCAAGAACAAAGACAAGAATAGAACAACTCAACAGTAATAGGGCAGCTATAAATTGTACTCACTTTCCTTTGAAACTAATGACAACTGAGCAGAGGAAAAAGAAGAAATCTGAATTAGGGCAGGTACTAAGTCTCAGAGGACACAGGATGATCATGCAAACTGTAGGAAACTGTTGAAGACAAGAGGGAAAGACAAAGTGCAAGAACAAAGACAAGAATAGAACAACTCAACAGTAATAGGGCAGCTATAAATTGTACTCACTTTCCTTTGAAACTAATGACAACTGAGCAGAGGAAAAAGAAGAAATCTGAATTAGGGCAGGTACTGGAGCAAAAAGGGAGATGAATAATGTGGGGAGCAAGAGACTGAGCGAGGAAAAGGATAAAAAGGAAGAATTTGCAGAATAGGAATAAATAAAATTTGAAAAATCAAAATTAAAAATAAGAGGAAAAGAAAAAGGAATTTGAAGAGCCTCTTTCAGGGTACATCTCTGCTGTCACCATAGACAGTGCAGGCAGCACTGTGCAGAACTAAGTCAATTAGTCTCAGCAAGCCAACCGCAGACCCTTGAGATTCAGGCTGAATTCTGGCTGTAAGGCCCTAGTTGAGCTCCCTGACCTCCTGCAGGGTTAAACTCTGCAAGGTTCTGTGGAAGGTTCTAGTTGCCCTTCCCCTGAAGCTAGGCCAGGTTCTGATGGAAGGTGGCGATCCCTCCAGCGTACCAACTGTGAAGGTCTGCTGTGCCTTTACTGCAGTTGTTCACTTCTGCTCTATCCTCTGGAGCTCAGTACGATGGCTTTGTGACCACCTGTGCCTCTGCAGTGTGGATTCAGGTACCAACACCACCAGGGGGCCCAGAGCACGGAGGTGAGGATGCTGCAGAGGCGCCTTACCAGCCTTACCTGGGCGGTCCTTACCAGTCTGCTCTGATGAAGGCTGGGACTTTCTGATTTAATCCTCCTGGGTAAATGTTCTTGCATAACAGACTAATTGGCGGTCAGCAGGTGAAACAAAGCAGTTGATAATTTGATACATTGAGTAGTCTTTTTTCCCATTAAGTTTATTGGTATATTTAAAGCAAACAATAACGCTGAGTAGTCTTAAAACCTTTCAAGTGGATTACACCAAGAGGGAAACGCTGTAGCAAAACTCCATGCAGGTAAATGTGTTTCTCCTTAGAGGATGTGGAGATAAAACCAAATCTTAGCTCAGTGGTTCCATCACCTGCCTTACAAGTGCAAGGTCCTGAGTTCCATCCCAGGTACAAAAAGCAAAACAAAACATAAATCTTAAGCAGCTATCATTGTCCACCTGAAATCCGGAAAGAAATGAGTTAGCATTCTGTTTCTGTAGCAGGGTACCTGAGAACAACAGTGTGGAGGATGGAAGGCTTGTTTTGGCCCACAGCTTAAGAGGCTTCAGTCCATGGTCCTAAGGCAGAGCATCGCGGTGGAAGGGCAGAGCATAGGAAGCTTCTCACTTCATGGCAGCAAGAAGCGGAGTGGGAAGTCTGGTGGGCTCTCTCTTGCCTGTTATGTTCCGTCTGGTTCCCCACTCCCAGCCCAGTGGATGGTGCCACGTACATTCAGGGCAGATCTCCCTGCTCGGTTTGTGTCCCTTAGCCGATCGCCATCGCAGTCACACCTAGAAGTGTGCTTCACTACTTTCCTAATTTCTCAGTCCAGTCACATTGACAGTTAAAGTTATCCATCACAATATGTGCAGTTTAGTGGGGGCAAAGATGTGGAATTCACTTTTTTGGCATGTAGATTGCTTTAGTTCTTTAAGAATGAAGGTCACAATACATACTAGTTTCTGAAATGTTTATATCCTGTTGTAATAATCTCATGTCTAGCACTTCGTTGACCCTGAGAAAATTTGTAAATATGAACAGAGCTGGATATAAAGCATGTTTACCAGTTAAAAGCCATCTGAATATCCAGCAACAAAGAATAGCTTGAGGATCTGAGGATTTAGCTTAGTGGAGCTACTGCTTGCCTTGCAAGCAAGCATAAGGTCCTGAGTTCAATCCCTGGTACAAAAACAAACAAACAAAAAAAAAGGAATAGCTTAAGTAAGAATAGCTTGAATCCTCTTGAAAGTAAAATGTCATTTCTTATTCAGGATTCTTGATGTATAACAACATGTGAAAATCTTTGTGCTGCAGTGGTAGGGAGATGGGGGAAATTGTTTTTACATTGCTAATATTCCGTAGTTAAACTGACTTATGCAGGCATCTAAAAAAGGATTTTACACAGGCCGGGGATTTAGCTCAGTGGTTCCACTACCTGCCTTGCAAGCATAAGGATACAAATTCAGTCCCTGGTACCAAATAAATAAATAGAAAAGGATTACACAAAAAATGCAATAAAGTATTTGGATAGCAAGATTTTGTGATTATACATAGGTGTGTGTGTGTGTGTGTGTGTGTGTGTGTGTGTGTGTGTGTTTATAGGTGTTTTTTGCCTTTTCTGTTTTGTAGGTTTTCTGAAGTGTTCTATCTTTTTTGTGGTGTCCTGTCCTGTTCTTCCCTTCCCTTCCCTCCTCACCCCTCCCCTCCCTTCCCCTCCCAAATTGTAATTATAAAACAAAAAGCCGTGTGTGGTGGCGCAGGCCTTTAATCCTAGCATTTGGGAGGCTAAGGCAGGAGGATCGCTGTGAGTTCGAGACCAGCCTGAGCTACATAGTGAGTTCCAGGTCAGTCTCAACTACACAGTGAGACCCTGTCTCAAAAAACAACGACAACAAAAAAATGCTGGGTATGGTGGCCCACACCTGTAATTCTGCCCCCCACACACACACTCTGGAGTCTTAGGCAGGAGAATCAGTCCCAAGTTGAAGGCCAGACTGGGCTCTGTAGTGAGTTGAAGACCAGTTTGAACTACATAGAGCAACCCCATCTCAAAAAACAAAACAAAACCAAAACCAACTTTTTGAAATGCTGAGAGGGCTAATAGGTTGTGGGTTATATGTTGGGCACAACACCAACAAGAGCCATGACTTAATTTGGTTTCTGGCTTTCCTGTTAGTGTTTTCTCTTTTTGATCATTGTAGTGCAATTAAACTGAAGCCGAGGGAAGGAGAGACGTACTTTGATGTTGTGGCTGTCGTTGACCCTGTCACCAGAGAAGCACAAAGGCTCGCCCCGTTGCTGTTGGTAAGGACCAATGTGGAGGCAGTTCACATCATCTGTCAGAGCTAGCTGTGTGCCCTGGGATTCTTCAGGAGCGATCTTGAAGGGACATTGGAAAATGGTACAGAGCATCCTGGACAGAATGCGCATAAAGACTGATAATGGCTCTGAAAGCAACTTTATAACTTTAGCAAGTTGTGCAAGTGTTTTTGGTAGTATCACATAATTAAAAATTATTAATACCCTCATTTAGACCTAAATATCTTTTTTTTTTTTTTTTTTTGTGCTGGGGATCGAACTCGGGTCCTTGTGCTTGCGAGGCAGGCCACCGAACCACTGAGCTAAATCCCCAGCCCTTAGTATCTTTAAATTAAATTGATTTAAACTGTAGTGGCAAAGGAGTAAACAAGTGAAGTAGTTCTACTTCTTTCATTTTCCTTTTTTTTTTTTTTATGTAACCACTATGTACCTATTCTCTGAAGCATATCTTATATATGTAAGATAATATAAAAGATACAATTCTATGTACATTTAAAAGAACTCTTACAAAAACTGACATTTCATTTACTTGGATTATTTAAGGTAATGTTTTTATTGAAGTAGAGTCATCTGAACTTTTGTGGGTATTTGTATTTATGATTTTTCATACTTCACGTGAGTTATACCACTGAGTCCTTACATTTTCTGTTGTGCTCCCTAACTCTGTGGTACATTTTCTTCACGTGAGAAGCAGCAATCTGTAATAGTTTGTGTGTGTCTCTGTCTGTCTGTCTCTCTGGGTGGAGATTATGTGATTAAATTATTTAGATCTGCACTGGAATTATGATTTCCAGAAATTTCCATTATAGACTTTATGGCAGTTATTATCTTCATGTTTTCCCTTGAGATATTAAGAAATGTTCTCTCTTAATTCAATGTCAAGTAATAAATTTCTGAAGAGAAAATTTAAATGATCTGTTTTCTGGTTGTCCTTTTAGGTTTTAACTCAACTGATAAACATGAATTTAAAAGTGTTTATGAATTGCCAATCTAAACTTTCGGACATGCCTCTGAAAAGGTAAAACATAGTATTTAAGAAATCAGAAAACATGGTATCAAATCCAAAAGGAGGATTGAAGGCTAAAGAGTTCCATGGATTTTAGGTGGACATTAAGTTTAAAAAAGCATTTTTTGAATATTCAGTTTGCCAATTTTCTAAAAGTGTGGGCATGGGAGCATTTAGGAGGCATTAACCTAGGCTACTTGCGCTGTGTGTTTGCCTTAAAATAAGAGTAGGTGTTTTAGGTTGCAGTATGTGTGGTAAAGGAACCTTGCTTAGGCTTATTTGCATGTATAGTATTTTGCAAAAGAGATCAGCTTAGCTTTGGGATCATGAGCTTTGGGATGGTCATTTGTGGAAAAAGCGACATAAAAATCAGTTAATAGTAGTGTAGCACATGTTGTGGCTACAGAACGTTGCTCATTTGCAAATATGCTATGTTCCATACCTTTAATTCTAAATGGATTGAAATAATTTTTGCAAGTGACCAAACATTTCCCAGAAACACCATTATCTTGTATAAAGAAATGTTTGTGTTATTACATACAGGCCAGGTGTGGTGCATGCCTGTAATCCCAGCACTCAAGAGGCTGAGACAGGAGGATTGACACAAGTTTGAGGCCAGCCTGGGCTACATAGTGAGTTCAAGGCCAGCCTGAACTATAATACGTAGTGAGACCCTGTCTACCCGCTTCTCCCCAGAATTATTACATAAAGTGTTTTCAGGGCTAGTGTGAGAACCCAATCACCATTTAAGGACTTGGGTTTTGGGGTACTTTTTTGTGTTTGGTGTGGTACCAGGGATTGAACTCAGGATCTTGCACTTGCCAGGCAGGTGCAGTGCCACTGAGCTACATCGCCTGCCCCCAAGGAACTGGCTTTTAAGAAGAACTCAAGACCTGTGGTTACACAGAAGAAATGTAACACTCTTCTTTTCAATTTCAGCTTTTACCGTTATGTCTTAGAACCAGAAATTTCTTTCACTGCAGAGAATAACTTTGCTAAGGGTCCAATAGCAAAATTTCTGGATATGCCACAGTCTCCGTTGTTCACCCTGAATCTGAATACACCTGAGAGTTGGATGGTAGAATCTGTCAAAACACCGTATGATCTTGATAATATTTATTTAGAAGAGGTAAGAATATAACAGCTGTATTCAGATGTAATTTGTGTACCATAAAATCCATCCTTCCAAAATGTACAGGCTAGAGGACACTGTGTATTCACAGAGCTGTACAGCCATCACCACCATCTAATTCTAGTGTTTTCAACAACCCAGAAGAAGCCCCATACCCATCGACAGTCACTCTGCATCACCCCCCAGCCCCTGGCAACTGTAGTCTACTCTCTATCTCTGTAGATTTGCCTGTTTTGACATTTTGTTTAAATTGAATCATACAACATGTGGTCTGTTATAACTGGCTTCTTTCACTGAACAAATGATTTCCAAGGTCTCTCCGTGCTGTAGAATATATAATTACGTCATTATTTTTTAGCGCCAGAGACTTTTCCTCTCTATGGATGTACTACACTTTATCCATTCCTGAATGGTCATTTGGGTTGTTTCTACTTTTTGGCTATCATAATTAATGTTGCTATGACTCTTGTGTGCAAGTTTTTGTACTGATCCCTGAGTACAGGATGACTACTTATTTAGTTTTCTTTTTTTAAGTATCTGGAGTCATATGTTCCATGTATATTTTTTGGAATTTTGGAATGATCTCCTTATTTTCTTTTCTCCTTTCATCCAATCCAGTTTTTATAATTGTATAGTCATAATTATCCACTATTATAATCAAGATCCAGAACATTCTTTCATCCCAAGGAGCTCTTTTATACCTCTGCAGGTAACACCCTACCCAGCACAATGAGTGATTGACCTACTCTTTGTCACTATAGCTTTGCCTTTTCTTGAATTTCTTAAAATATGATCCTTCAGTGTGTAAGCCCTCTTGTTGGCCTCGTTCACTTTGCAAAAATGCATTGCAGATTCTGCTGCTGCTTAGCTTTCAAGTGATCTGTTTTGGTCTTGCAGGTGGACAGTGTAGTGGCTGCTGAGTACGAGCTGGAATACCTGTTACTTGAAGGGCATTGCTATGACATCACCACAGGCCAACCCCCACGGGGACTGCAGTTTACCTTGGGAACTTCAGCCAATCCTGTCATTGTGGACACCATTGTTATGGCCAATTTGGTAAATAATCAGCGCATCAGATAGAGATATGGCAGTCCTGTTAATTTGGGAAGTATAATTTATGGTAGAACAATGAGTGTTGTGAACTACAGAGTGAGATTAAAATTCATCATCGGCTGAATTTGATTCATATAAAAATTGTAAACTTTGTTAAATGTGAAGATTGGAATTACATGTCTGTTTAAAAGAAGAAACAATACTCTGATCTAAACAGATTAGTCCCTGAAAATGCATTCTCCTGAGCTGCCTGCCTGGCTGTCTTCTTCAGGAAGTTGGCAGCTTAGCCAGCACGCATTGTACCTTCCTGGTGCACAGCTGGGGGGCAGCCTTCTTGGCTTACGTGGCGTGTATTTGCCCAGAGTGTCTAATGTGTAGTTGTTAGTTTTGTTTTTGTTGTTTCTGCTTTGCTCTGATTTGTTAACTGTCTTATTTAAATTGTCGGTGTCTAATACTTCAGAAGGTGATGTAACTATTCCCACGAAATAGTACTTGTATGTTTTAAAAGAGAACTAAAATGTGGCTTTCCTTATCTTAGGGCTACTTTCAGCTAAAAGCCAACCCAGGAGCTTGGATTCTCAGACTTAGGAAGGGACGCTCTGAAGATATTTATAGAATCTACAGGTAGGATCCACTGATTCTATTGTACTTTTCCAGAACATTTTGAAATGAGAATCAGTTCTAATTGGATATTATCTGGCATTTTGCCAGGCATCATAAGTGTAAATTACAATCATTGTGTGACAGAAGAGTACTTTTCCAGAAAAGCAGAGTTGTCAAAGAATTATATAGTACAAATGTTAAAAGTATAGTCAAGTTTTATTCTCCATTAATTCATTTGCATTAACACCATCCCCAAATCAAATCATTCTGTCAGTGATGCAGACCACAGGCAGATGATAAATTTTGTCATTTGAAGAAAAGAGAAAAGAAAGAACAGAGCCAGTGTGGTGACACATGCCTATAAACCTGGCAGAAGGATCGCTGTGAGTTTGAGGCCAGCCTGAACTACGTAGAGGATCTGTCTCGAAAGAAAGAACAGTAAAACCAGAGAGTATATATGTGACCCTAAGTGATTTACAAGTACATAGTACCTGCAAGATTAGGCCATGAAGCCTTGTCAGTTCTGGTCTTTCTTTGTCTTTGGTGATATAGAAACATACTAGACTATTCTGCCAGTAGCCAGGTTTTTGCCTGAGTTTACTATACACATTTATTAGGATTTTGCTTTGTTTTGGCTTGGTTTTGGTTTTTTCTTTTGTTTTTGAGTCAGGGTTTTGCTGTGTAGCTCAGGCTGGCCTTGATCTTACTGGCCTTGAATTTGCAGCAGTACTCCTCCCTCAGCCTTCCAAGTGCTGGGATTACAGGTGTGCACCATCTCATCTGGCATACACATGCTTATTAGGTAAAAAAAAATACACTGTGTTTAGCTGGGCTTGGTGGCCCATACCTGTAATTCCCACTACTCTGGAGGCTGAGGCAGGAAGATTGAAAGTGCTAGGCCAGTCTGGACAACTCAGCAAGCCAGGGTCTCAAAGTGAAATAAAACGGGCTGGGGCCACAACTCCGTGCTGGAGTGCCTGCCTACCATGTGCAAGACTGTTCATTCCCATGTTTCGGGAAGAAAAAACACACTGCCTTCAAAGAAATTTGGTCTATTTCCTACGTAATCAATTTAAATTAGTCTTAAGTTACGTGAAAGAGGCTTTCTGTGACTTTATTTAGGGAATAATCCCACCAGCATTTATTTGCAATGCTCTCTTGTGTGTCATTGCCTTGGCTCCATACCGTCGTGCTCAGCATATATGAAATCAGAGTAGATTAGTGCTGATTTCTGATTTTTTGGATTACAATAACATCTTTATTATAAGTAGGGTTTTCCACACAGCACAAAATTTTACTGTGTTTCCAAATTCCGTGCCTTCTGTGTGCTCCCTGCCCTGTCCGCCACTCCCACATGCCCTTGGAATCCAGAGTGGTTCATACTTCAGGCTTCTTCTGTGCCAGAACCTTGCTTTTGTCTCCTCTCTCCTGGGTGACAACAGATGCAGTGAATTCATTATGTTACTGTGACTTCTTATACCTCGAAATTTGGTGATGAGCAATTTTAGGCTTAAAGGGAAAATATTATTTTAAATTTTTACTCCTCTGTAACTGTCTGCCGGCAAAGAGAGCTGGTTATAGTTCTTCCTGCTGGAGGCATTAAACTTAATAGAGGGCCTAGACTTGCCTGGTCGAGTGCCCTAGACAGGAGAGAGATTTCTTTACAAAACTGTTCTACTTAAAAGAACAGATGAGATTTGACTCCAGTGATGGTTTAAAGTAGCCCAACCCTCAACTCCTTTATTCAAGGTGCTGTGCATGTCTCAGACAAGGGCGGTGGATATGAGCAAAAGATGTTATACACATTGAACCCCTGCCTAAAATGTGAAACTTGGGAGGCCAGAGGAAGAGAGGGGATGGGTGGAGGTCGGTGTGCAAGTGACCAAAGTGTGTTGAAACCTGTTAATCTGTATAGCCGATTAAAAAAATAAAGAGTGGGAGGAGCCACAAGCACCCTCCGTTACTCAGTGCTCACCATGTGCTTGCCAGGCTCAGGAGTTCCTCGCTTGACCACGGGCAACTGGGGAGAACTCAGGGAGGAAGTTGGGATACTCATCCCATATACAGATTTTGACAGATGCTTGTGTGCAGCTCGAAAGGGTTTCCTGCAGGTTCTGAGCAAATATTTTGTTCTGACAAAAGTGATGAACAGATATGGCAGATTTTTGTCCAACGGTTTTTACTGCACTCTGAGAATTATGATATTTAGTGTCTGTCTTACTTTTCTCTAAGCCATGATGGTACGGATTCTCCTCCTGATGCTGATGAGGTGGTTGTCATTCTCAACAACTTCAAAAGCAAAATTATTAAAGTGAAGGTGAGTTTGCTGTACTAAAGCAGCCATTCTTTTATAGTTGTTCACAGCAGTGGCAGTCTCCTCTCCTTATCCAAGGTTTCAGTCACCCACAGGCAGCCACAGTCCAAAAATACAACTCTTTGTCTTGATTCTTTCAAGAGCAACCACAGCCACATTACTTTTATTATAATGTATTGCCATAATTCTATGAGTTGTCATAAATCTATTACTGTACGTAATTTATAAATTAAAAACATAGTATAGACAGGATTCTGTACTAAGGTTTTAGGTGTCTACTGGGGATCTTGAAAGATCCCCTAAAGATGAGGTGGATGCCTCTATAAATCAGCCCAAAACTTTCTGTGGAATTTACTATAACAATTATAGGACTAGTAGTACTTTAAGGCAGGATATTTGTTAGTGTGAATTTATGTCTTTCTTGAACAGAAAGCTTACACCTTTTCAGTAATCTCAGTGAGCTATTCCAGTCCCACTTTATTAGAAATAAAAATGCTCTCTTTGAGGCTGTTGATTATATTGCTATAATACATAATATTATTGATGATTTTATTCTCAGAATAATGGTGAAAGTTCCAATGAAAATGTCAGCAGTGAAATGGTAGTTCTGTTTAGTTTCTTCTTTCTATCTTCAGCATTTTGGAGTTCCTAGTACCTTAAAGTAAAACATATTGTTGAATAAATCTCTATGCACAGCAAAACCTAGTGTCAGCCATGCGTGATGAGCAGAAAATGATGCCATAGAAAAGATTCAGCCTGTGTTTGCGTTAGTAAGTCCTCCGGGCAGGCCGTGTTCTGAATGGCCTTTCTCGACAGCCTCTGTGTGCTGTGCTCCTTCCCCATTTTCAGCTTAGTGAAGTGTGCTGCTGCATTTACTCAGGCTGTCTCCTACACAGCTGAATTTGAGGTTCTTTGCTCACTGTAAAAACTAAAAATGGTTTTTGTTTAAATAAAAGAGGTTGCTATCCTTTTACTTAATATTCTGATGTGACCATCCTAATGAATAAATTTTTAGGCTTCTTTTCTTTCAAATTTTATTTTTTTTAGTACGTTTGCAGTGATAATGATGACATTCCTGGTAGGGAGTTGGTACATGTACATGACACGTCTGAACTCTTTCTGCATCCCTTAAAGATACTTAACAGAGTGCTCATGGACTCTGGAGAGTTGTGCCACCTTGTGGGGAACTGGTTGGTAATTCCCTGTTGTTACCAGTGTCCACAGTGCCTACCCAGTGCAAGGCAGTGCTTTCTCATTAGACTGACCTATGAGGAGGAGTAAGGTCTGTCGCCTGTGATTGCAGGTTCAGAAGAAGGCAGACATGGTGAACGAAGACTTGCTGAGTGATGGAGCAAATGAGAACGAAGCTGGATTCTGGGACTCATTCAAGTGGTAATTGTTGTTTTTAAAAAGCTGTGTTTTTAAGGAAAAACAGCCCCATGTACCCCTCTATCTTTTGAATGTAATGTCCTCCCTGGACCTTTCATGTTCTTTATGCAACCAAATCTTGCATTTATATTTGGAGCTGCTGTTTCCCAGTAATTTACCTAAAGGAGCTTCGTGACTTTTTCTGGTGAACTTGTATTCCATGCTCTTGAATTTTCTTGGGCGATGCCTTCTCTTTGGAGAGGTACTTGGTAACTACCCACTTCATTTCCTATGTTCTGTGGAGCAGCCTGTGTTCCCTCTATTCCTAAAGCAACAGGATGCCTTGGAGGGAGCATCTTCCTCTTCACCAAGGGGTGGCGGTTTGCTGTGTGCCTTCTCCTGGGGCATTGGCTGCTTTGTGCCACTTCTACCAGATCTCACCTGCTGTGGTACGAGTGGGAATGGGAAGGCAGCCTCTTTTTCCTCTCTCAAAGGACTATGTGTCTGTCCAGGGCTTGAAGGGGTACTGTTTTTACCGCTTGTTATAGGGGCTTTTCAGGAGGACAGAAGATTGAGGAGGTGAAACAAGATAAAGATGACATTATTAATATCTTCTCCGTTGCATCTGGACATCTCTACGAAAGATTTCTGCGGTTAGTCTTGTTGATTATTCAGTGCCTGTTAATGAATTTGTCACATTATTCTTATTTAGAGAGAATAGGTTTTGTAAGATTCTTCCCATTGTATTTATGTGTTATTTGGAGCAGTCTGAGGACTATGAATAACTTGCCATGTGTAATCCTCTTTTATTTTGATCCATTCAACTCCATGAGGTTAGCTAGGTAATGAATGCCTCTTGGATAGTATAAGGCTATAGACTTTTAATATCACATACAGACTTTATAGAATGTGTGTTTACCTCGCTAGCAAAGAGTGCTTAAACCAGAAGTCAGGAGATTGCCAAGAGAGAAGACCAGGTCCATGCAACACTTCACCACCTTCCACAAATCCATAGCTTGTTAGATCTATAAAAGAACTCAATTCTCTTTTATAAACAAACAGACCCAAGTAAAAAGGGACTTGCCTAGGTCACACAGCCAGAGGCAGGACAGGCTGCAGGCTGGGACTGATTGACTTAGTGGCCACCGAACAGGAAGGTATCAGGAGGGCTCAGCTCTGAAACTGTCCCTTAGTCTGAGAGCCACTTTCTTGATTGCCAGGGTTCTTTTTTTCTTTTAGTTTTATCCTACAATTAAAATTAAAATACCTTTTTACTCATTTTTAGGCCTTTGTTTCCAAGAAAAAGTTGGGACTAAATGACAATGGTGTCAACTAATTTAACACCTTGACTCAAGAGTCTGAGTCTTAGCCTTTGGCCTCCCTTTCCACTCTGGTCTTTCCCCGGCAGGGTTCCCTGTAATCCAAGTATAACCTTCCTCAGTACCACATGCTGCTGTGGCCTGACGGGTGGGTTGGGACAATGATACAGTCAGTTCATAGATGCCATTTTGTGCCCTCATGAATGTATCAGTTCATTGGAAGAAACAGTAGAATTAGCATTTGTCTCTATTAAGTATCAAAGGTAAGTTTATGAGCAGAAATAAGAGCATTTGCCATTGTTAGGGGTCTCGCTTTGCTTAATTGTGTCATGAGTTAGCTCTGCTGTGCTGTCTCATAATTGCCACTGCTTTATGGTACTGCAGTTTAAAGGCATTGGAACATTATTGTTTGTTTTTGTTTGGCAGTATAATGATGCTGTCAGTGCTGAAGAATACCAAGACTCCTGTGAAGTTCTGGTTCTTGAAGAATTATTTGTCCCCCACATTTAAGGTTTGTTTCACAGGGAAAAGGAAGACATTCTTATTAAAGGAGATATTTATAGTATATTTTTTACTGTTTTTATCAGTACACTTTAAAATTTTTTTCATTTATTAGGATACACTTAGTTATGTTTTTTTGTTGTTGTTTTGTTTTTTTGGTACCAGGGATCAAACTCAGGCCCTTGCGCTTTTGAGGCAGGCAGCAGAACCACTGAGCCAAATCCCCAGCCCAGTTATATATTTTTAATGTTGATTTTTCTTCCACATTGCTCTGTTTGGGGGGTGCAGTTTATAAAACTAAACACACAATTATGATCCTTTGAAACTTCAGTAATACAGGAGAGGGTCTGTATCTTTGTAAAAAGCAATGTTTTAACTAAGTAACACTCTTCCCTCTTTAGTTAGTGTAGGTTGAGGAGGATGATTAGTTTTCATAAACCAATACCAAATGATATATCGAAATTATTCTTCATCTGTGCAAAGTACAAACACACTTGAAAAGTTCTCTTCTTTATTTGTATCAGCTAGGTTTTGTTATCTAAATAGATTTTTTTTCCCCGTGCAGAAGTTACTGAACAACTTTCAATGTATTCAGTAATATCTCTCTTACATCACTAATTCACTTCTGGTCCTCTGAAGGGACTTTCATTTAGAACCCGAGAGACTTATTCATTAATAATAGCAAGTCTGTCAAGAGTATTTGGGAAGAAAAAAAGAGATCATTTTGGCTTTGCTATTTTGTTCCCTGGATTAGACCTAATCTTAAGAAGTTGAGAAAGGCTTATAACTAAATTCAAGAAATGTATTACTGAAATCAGATTTAGACAAATGGACTTAAAGTTATGTACCCCCCCCCCACACACACACACACACACACACAGAATTATAGATCTAAAGGCCTTTGTCTATAGACTTCTGTCATTTCATGTGGCCAGAAAGACATAAAGAAAATGGGGTTTGAGTTAAGCTGTTCTTTGTTAGAGCATTGTTTTGGTGAATGTGTTTTACTTGTATCATAATCGTGGCGATTGACTTACATTATGTAGTCTGTTTTCTTAATCAGAATGAACAGTTGTTTCTTGCTATGTCTGAACATAGGAGTTTATACCTTACATGGCAAATGAATACAATTTCCAGTATGAGCTTGTTCAGTACAAATGGCCCCGGTGGCTTCATCAGCAGACTGAAAAACAGCGTATCATCTGGGGCTACAAGATCCTCTTCCTGGATGTACTTTTTCCACTAGCTGTTGACAAATTCCTGTTTGTGGATGCTGATCAGGTAAGCTCTTAAAGGCCAGATTTTGTTAATTTTTTTCTAAGTGTTTTTCCATTTGTGGAAAAGTACCTACTTATTTTACACTATTAGAAAATATGGAAGATACCACACAGATTGGATCACTTTTTAAATTTAATTTACATTTAGTATGCACCCTTTTCATTTTTTCTGTCCTTTCTGTTGTGATGACATTGTATATGCAGTCTTGTAGATTACTTAATTCATTAAATATAAAGACTAGAATTAGAAAATTAAGGTTTAATAGTACTTGCCATCCTCTCCAGTTATATGCCCAAAATACAGGTATTGTTGGGTGATAGATGAAGTGTAGGTGACTCTTGGCTTGGTAACCAGGAACTGCAGGTAGCTTCCAGTTGCCAGGATTCGATGTAGTTACAAACAATGCATTGTGGCTGTAGAGCCCTCAGACTCAAACATGTGCCTGCACTGCCACTCTCAAGCCTTCTGTGTCACCCTCCCTGAATGGGAGCAGTGTAATATGTGTAGGAGTCTCCCAGACAGAGCTTCGCACACCTTTTTGGAATCCCCTGCCTCAGGTGGCTCAACCTGAAGCATGCTTTCCTGATTCTCATCAGCCATATTACTCTTTTCAGTAATATAGTGACCAAGGCATCATTCCACAGCTGTCCACATGTGAGCTTGCCTCATCCTCCCAACACCTCTGAAATAGATATTCTCGTTGTCTCCATGTTGCAGATGAGGAAACTCAGGGATATCCAGCCTAAGCAATTGAAGTTTGTTTTGTTTCTACTCCTGTTGAATACTTAGAATGCTGTGCCACATGCCACGTTAAGTGTTAATGAGGGCTCTTGTGACATATTTTGTATTTTAAGGAAATTATGTTAGAACTGTTTGCATGGTGGATTGAAAAATGACTTGATATTCTTTTATCCAGATTGTACGGACAGATCTGAAGGAGTTAAGGGATTTCAATTTGGATGGCGCCCCTTATGGTTATACCCCGTTCTGTGACAGCCGAAGAGAAATGGACGGCTACAGGTTCTGGAAATCAGGATACTGGGCCAGCCATTTAGCTGGGCGGAAGTACCACATCAGGTTGGCACTGGGAAAGGGTTACTTCCAATGACTTGGTTTATTTTTTGAAATTTAATTTTGTGCGTTTAAAATTATGAGTGGTTTATATATACTATGACGTAGAAATGAAAATTACAAAAAATAAACATGACACTGGGCGTGGTGGCACATGGCTGTAATCCCAGCACTCAGGAGTCTGAGATAGGAGGATCACTGTGAATTTGAGGTTGGCTTGGACTATTCAGTAAGTTCAAGGCTACCCTAAACTACATAGTAAGACCCTGTCTCAAAAAATAAATGAATAAATTTTTAAATAAATAAAACAAAATGTTTTCTTTAAACAGATAATTTCCCCTACTTATTTTCTTTATGTCCTTCCAGAGTTTCTTATAGAAACAGCTATGAATGTGTATTGAATGTCTTTTTTATACAAAATATACCATCCTTTTTATTTCTTTATTTCTTTTTTTGGTACTGGGGAGCTTGCGAGGCAGATAGCGAAACCACTGAGCTAAATCCCTGGCCCTACTGTCCTTTTTATACTCTTTTGTAGCTTAATATTTTAATTCTAGATTTTATCATATCAGTGGGGAGCAGTCTTATTTCTTTTTCCAGCCGAATGTTATTCCAATGTATTATTTATTGTCTTTTTGCTATGATACTGTTGCAATGAATATTAAATGTATTATTTTGCATATATCAGGTATGTTTATAGGATAAATTCCTAGGTGTAGATCTCTTAGGTCTAACAATATGTACATTCACTGCATTTTTAATAATCATTCTATTGTCTTCTCTGGGAGATGTATAATTTGGAAGCTGTAGAGGATAAGGTATTTCTAGGAAGTTACATATACAAAATAAATGATGAGCTATGGTGATTTCAGCTTCATACTTTATGGTCCTGGTCCAAAAGAACTTAACACTGTGGGATTTTTGCTCCTGTGATATTTAAGCCATCATCAGCATGTCTCTGACTAATGGTTGTTTGTCGGTTACTGTACCTTTATTACCAAAACTGCTGCATTTGCTGGAAGTCTTTTGTGAGAGATTATTTCCTTGGAAGGCAATGAAATAAGGAACAGTGACCACAATAATCTAGCAGTGACAGAATATGGATTTCACAGTAACTTTCATAGACATCTTTGAAGTAGTACCTACTGACCTTTAACTTTACTGTAGGCTCACAGCTCACAGTTTCAAAGAGAACCAGAATATTTGGCTGGTGGCCTAGTCCATTATTCAATTTTGTTAGCTTTTCCTGTCATAAATCCATGGCTGGTTGTAACAAATAGGTCTTCTTTGTTCAGTGCATTGTACGTTGTGGATCTGAAGAAGTTTAGGAAAATAGCTGCTGGAGACAGACTCAGGGGACAGTACCAAGGACTGAGTCAGGATCCCAACAGCCTTTCAAATTTGGATCAAGTAAGTGACCACATTTTATGGTTAACAGTTTCCGTGATGGTATATACAATGTTGTTTCGGAAAATCAGTTCTCTACCCAGAACAGTGTCGTTTTTGTTTCATGAAGAGGGGCAAGTGTATGAGAGATCATGAGGCATATCTGACTTCAAGAGATGGCATAGCAGTAGTGAAAAATGCTAGCAACCTGGTATTGGTTAGGGAGAGAGATGGAAAGAGGCTGATGCCTTCCTAAACATTACCTTATTTTTTAATTTGATACTCAGCTTCATCTGATGTTTCTCTGCCTGCTATAGTTAGTTTGTTTTTCCTCTTTAAGAAGTTCTTTAAGAACTAAATACCTTAGGATTTACAGTCTACAATATGTCAGAAGCCATACTTAAAGATAGCTCAATCATTGTTTATTAATGCCAAGCATTTTTTTAGAGGTGAGATTGTATAGTTTCACATATATGTTAGGCATTTTGTTTTGCTTAAGTCTACCTTCAAATTTCTTTAAACCTTTACTGAAATGTATAGTATCCATAAAGAAGAACACACAAACCAAAAAATACAATTATATCCATATTCATTTATATCAAGGAATTATTATAAAACAGATAAGCCATCCTTAATCTCTAACAAAAGTATCTAGTATCGTTATTTTTATGATAATCACTCCATTTGCTTGTCTTTTTTTTTTTTTTTTTTTTTTTTTTTTTTTTTGTGCTGGGGATTGAACTCGGGACCTTGCATTTATGAGGCAGGCAGGCTTATGAGGCAGGCAGGCGGTGGAACCACTGAGCTAAATCCCTGGCCCTCCATTTGCTTTTCTTTAGAAATTTGCTACGTACGCATATATTCTTAAAAGCAGCAGTTGAGTTTACCTATTTTTTCTTTTCTAATTCATGGAATCATAAAAGATGTACACTTTGTAATCTTCACTTCTTTTGCTTAGCACTATGTTGTGTGATTCCTCCATGTTATTTGTCTGTTCTACATTTGAGTTTCCCCTTTCTTCCGCCCTCCCCTCTTTCCTTCCTTCCAGTGGGGCCTTGCTATCTTGCCCATTCCGGTCTTGAACTCCTGGGATTAAGTGATCTCCAGGCCTATACTGCCATGTGTAGCCTGTTTTACTTCTATAATGATGCTACTATAAACATTCTTTTACTTGTATGCACACATTTCAATTGTGTATACAACCATAAATTGAACTGCTGGTTCATCAGATATAGTATCTTTACCTTATCTAATAATTCTAAACAAATTACTTTAAAAGTCATGTAATTTATGCCTCCATCCGCAGTGTGAGAGTCTGTTTTGACCAGTATTCATTAGTACATATGACCTACAGGAAGATGGTGGAGCAGTAAACAGCAGTAAACCAGCCTCTCCAAGATTCAGATATTAGACGCTGGGATATAACAACTTGGGGAAGAAACGAAGGAGGGAAATGAATCCCTAAGACTCAGGAAGGATCTGAAAGGAGAATTGGATATGATCTGGCTTTCCTTTGTGACTTTCAGTTGGAGAATAATCCATTTATGTTTTTTTGTTTTTTGTTTTTTGTACCGGGGATTGAACTCAGGTCCTTGTGCTTGTGAGGCAGATGGCGGAACCACTGAGCTAAATCCCCGGCAAATCCATTTATGTTTAATGTAATTATTATTGAGGCCGGATTTATACCTGCCATTTCCTATTTCTTATCTCTTTATGCCTTGTATCTTCTTGTATTCTTTAATTCCTGTTTTTACTGCCTTCCTTTGTATAGTGAATCATTTATTTTTCTTTCTTTTTTTTTTTTTTTTTTTTTTTTGCTGTATATTTTTTTAGTTATTTTGAGTTTGTCTTGATGATTACCTTAATTTTTTACAATCTAGTTTGAAGTAGTCCCAGTTTAATTTCATAGTATAAAAATAGTATCTCCATTCCCTCTTCTTTTACATTACCATCATACAGTTTTTAACCTTTATATCTTATATACCCACCAAGACAGATTCATAATTTTTTGGCAATTGTCTTTTGTAGTTGTTCAGGAAGAAAACTAGGCTTTTGAAGAAGAAAAATAGCCTGTTATTGTCTTTCATATTTACCTGCATACTTTTTGTTTCTTGTGTGGATTCCACATAGTGCCCAGTGCTGAAGAACTCCTTTTATTATTTCTAGCAGATTGATTCTGCCAACTACGAAGTATCAGAGAATATATGAATTTCTCCTTCATTTTTGGTGAATAATTTTGCTTGGATTTTTGTATGACAGATTTTCTTTCAACATCTTGAATATATTTTCCCATAGTGTTTGGCTTCTATGGTTTCTGATGGGACATTAGATGTGGGCTTTTTGTTTTATTTTGTTTTGGTTTTTTTGAGACAGGGACTTCCTATGTAGTTCAGGTTGATGTTGAATGCAGTGTATATAGTCCAAGCTGGCCTCTGACGCATGGCAATCCTCCTGCTCAGCCTCTAGATGTAATATTAGGACATCTGTAACAGGACGGATTACATGACTAATGTTGGCTTCAAGATTCTTCTGGTAGTTTAAATATCATATGTGGATGTATATTTTCAGTCCATCCTATTTGGAGCAAGTTGAGCTTTTTGGACGTATGCAATTATTTTTCATTAAATTTGGGGAATTTTTGTTATTCTAGCATTCTTTCTATACCTTTCTCTCTTCCCCTTACCTTCCTTTAGCCCCATCCCTCCTCCTGGGACTCCCATTATTTGTATGCTGGTATACTTGCTGGAGAATCACAGGGTCTGTTTGTTTTTATTTATTTTTCTTTCTTTTTATTTTCTGCAACCCAGGCTAGATAATATCACTTGTGTATTCAAACTTAGTGATTTTTCTTTCTACCTCCTCCAATTTGCTAATGAAACCTTTCAGTGAATTTTTCTTTGCAATTATTGTCTTTTTTTTTTTCCATTTCAATTATTATATTTTTTTATTCAGTTTCTTTGTATCATTTCTACTTTTCTGGGCATTATTTATGTGGTTTTGGCCATTTAAATATTATTTTATGAAGAGCTAGTTCTGTTGTTTGGATGTTTTGTTTTTCTACTTGAAGTACAGGCTTTCTTTATACTGATGGTATACTGACCATGTGCTAGTTATTTATGTTGCAATGTTTCTCACTTTTGATGGTATCTTTTAGTATTTTCCTTTATGTTTAATGCTTTTGATCCCTACTCAGGTCATAAAGATGCTCTTTGTATGAGCTTTGGCAATTTGCCTTTTGCATTCAGATGTAATTTCCAGTAGGAGTTTGTTTCATGTGTGGGACAAGATTGAGTTCACTATCATTTTTGTATTTTAGTATTATTTTTAAAACAAAACACTCTGCAGTGCCATCTATGTCAGAAGTAGTCTTGATTATACACCAGAGTCTGCTTCTGGGCCCTCTTTTTTCCCATTGGTCTAGCTTCACAACAGTACTACAATAGTCTAAATTAGTGTGGTTTTACCATGTCTTGATACCCAGGAGATCAAGTCCTTTCCCCTCATTCTTCATTTAAAACTAATAGCAACTGAAAGAAGGAAAAAGAGAAGAAAAGAAAAAGAAAGAAATTAATTTGAATTACGATAGGAACAGAAAGGGAGAGAAATGAAGATCAAGATGGGAGAGAGTGAGAGAGAAAGAAAAAAAGATAAGAAAAGATAAAAAGAAAAAAATTTGAGAAAACAAAAAGATAAAAATTTTTAAATGATTAAAGATAAAGGAAAGAGGGCCAGGAATTTCGCTCAGTGGTTCCAGCTGCCTGCTTCGCAAGTGTAAGGTCCTGAATTCAATCCCCAGTACCAAAATAAATAAATAAATAAAGATAAGAGAAAGATATTACTTTGAAAATGAAAAATACAAATAGAAATAGAGGGCCTCCTTCAGGGTATGTCTCTTAACAGCAGACAACGTGAGTAGGGGTGTACAGATCTAAGTTAATAGTCTTAGCAAGCCAGCAGCTGTCCACTGAGGTTCAGCTCACTTCTGTCTGTAAGGCCCAAGCTGAGATCTCTGTCCTCCTGTTGGGTTGAACTCTATGAGGTTCTCCTGCAGGTTCCAGCCGTCCTTCCCCTGGAGTGAGACCAGGTTCTGAGGTGAGGTGCTGGTCCCTCCGACAGATTTTCTTCACTTTTCCAGTGGGCTTCAGTTTTCATCTAGGAGCCTCAGAGAGGCCTCTTTCACTTGTTGGGGGTAGGGGGACGGCACGGACACCGCTGTGTTGGTACCCATGTGGCTGGGCTCCTCTGCAGTGCTGGGCGGAAGGAGCCTTCCCTCATTCTTCAAAAATATCAAATTCCTTTCCTTTGTTTTCCCATATATATTTTAGAATCAGCTTGTGGAGAAAAAAAACTTTGGCTAGGGTGTTATTTGGGTTAACTTTCATTGTTTTGAAAATAAAGTTTTCTCCATAGAGACCTGTACGTCTTTGTGGGGAGGGTTAGGGTTTTGTTTTGGTTTGGTGTTTTGAGATAGGGTGTCATTGTGTAGTTCAGGCTGGCCTTGAACTCACTGTGTAGCCCAGGCTGGCCTTGGGCTCACGAGGATAGTCTAGCCTCAGCCTCTAGAGTGCTGGGATTACAGGCGTGCACTACCATACCAAGCTTTGTTATTTTTAAAACTTTTGTTTCTGTCTTTAAAATTGCAATCAACTTTTGCTCATTATATTCAACTCATTGACTTGCTAACCTAATAATTTATATATATTTCTGTACTTTCCACATTTGTAATCATATCAAGATTAGAACAGATAATAGGGTTTTACTCTTTCCTTTTCAATCTTGCATTTAAAAATATTCCTTTCTAGATTTGCTAGAAGTACCATATTGGTGAATAAACATCTTGACAGTGGACATCCTTGATTCTCAGGGATATTTATCAGAATTTCTCTATCAGATATGATGTTTGCTATAGACTTTTTGTAGATACTTCTCATTCATATTAAAGAAGTTCTTCCTTAGTTTGCTCCTTTTAACAAATACAGTGTGAAGAAAAGTGTGACGTTAAATATAACTCCCTGAATTATATC